AACAGCATCATTGAGTCTTTCGACAGAATCACGGCATTAAAACAGACCGTCCATAGAATCTCAGCATCATTGAGTCCGTCCATTAAATAGCGGCATCAATGAGTCCTTAGAACAGAATGCCAGGCGGCCTATCAAATACATACGGCTCGTGAGATAAGTCAATTACAAACAGAAATTAAGCATTGATTTTTGTGTCGAGAGATGTTGATCTTGTCCCCCCTCATTGAATCACATAATTAGGTCCAGCAATATCCGTGTGATGGGGGTCAGCTTTAAACACATTTAACACAGCCTGCTGGGGTCAGCTTTAAACACATTTAACACAGCCTGCTGGAGTCTGCATTAAGCACATCTAACAGGTCATTGTTGGGGTCATAATTAAACACATTTAACAGGGCCTGATAGGGTCATAATTAAACACATCTAACAGCCTGTTGGGGTCATAATTAAACACATCTAACAGCCTGTTGGAGGCGATATGAAATATTAGGAGAACATAACGCATGTCAATAGAGAATGGAAATATCTATCAGAAAAATATAAACTAAATTCGTATGGCCTTTATTCAGTGAGTTCATTAGCCAACAAGCTAATCAGGCAGTGTTCATTTATCCAGCAAATGGGGGCATTACTCTATTAGCTGTTTAAAAATAGCATAGCACCGGAAGCCAATTTATTTGTCAGAAACAGCATGACAAAAATTGAATCTGAAGATTAAGAAACGAAATAAGATATTCAAATAAACGCTGAAAAAGCTGAACGAAAAAAAGAATTTAAAAAAAAAATGAATGCAATGTATGAAATTGGTAAACCAATATTTTTAGAGTGTTATACTTGGATACAGAGGCGTCGCGAGGCGGAGGCGGGGGGTGCGGACAGTACCGGGTGACACCGTGCAGGGGAGGGGGTGACACCAAGACAAAATATTGCAAAATGTATTTTTTAAAAACGTGTTTTTTCCAGTTCAATACATGATTAATTAGAGTTAAAAAGTACGTGAAACCACATCTTATAATTTGTTATGAAAACGTTTATTTTTTTTCTACTTGAATTGTAGCTGGATTAAAATAATTTGTGCACAAATTCACGCCATTAGGCAAAATGGTAGGGGGGGGGGACTACGTGACACCATTTACAACTATATATAGGCTTATGTTGACTTATATGTATATATCCTATACTTTTTCTTTGGTGGGGGGGGGTGACAAAATGAGGTGCCGCACCGGGTGACACCCGACCTAGCGACGCCACTGCTTGGATATGCTGCTCGTATCTCAACTATCTATACAAATTACTTATTATCCCCAATTACGTGTAATATACACTTTTTTAAACAACAGCGCCGTAAATTTTTTGTTATCAAATACTGTACATTAAATTATAACCATGTGTAAACAAAACCAGTAAACATTGTCTGATTTTAAGGTTTTAATTGGCGTCAGGTACATTTTCTGAATGGCGGAGATTGCAAACAGGACGTAGGTGTTGTTTATACAAAATATAAACAAACGTTATATGTACCACACCCAGCAGACGATGTATGTATCACTGGACGTTATATGTATCATAGGAAGCAGACGTTATTTGTATTAAAAGTAGAAACGTTAACATCTATATCTATATATATATATAATTATCTTCTGGGAGCCGTTAGAAAACAAGCTGCAAGCGCCTCCTTGCAGTCCTCTCTCTTTCTCTCTATCACTATCACTATCACTACCACCCCCACCCCACCCCCACATTGTCTGGTGAGTTGTGGTCACGCTAAATGTTTACAAAGCTAAATGTTTACAAATCGTAGAGCCGTAGAGCCGGGTTTCTTTTAGGGGCAGATAATTTAGTTCGATTTTAAACTTACAGGAGGTAACGAAGAAATAACTAAGAGGGGGCTGCTTTCACGGGGGGGGGGGGGTGTAGGTTCGGGGTTAGGGTAAAGGGGGGGGGGTTAGTGTTTTAAAGCAAATATTTTCAGTGGCAGCATTGGTACTGTCGAATTCACAAATTATGAATTACTGAAAAGTAGAAAATAAAACAACTAAATAGCGGCGTATGATACGCAGCGGGTCGGCTCGTATTATATAATTCTCTACGTCGCCACCACTCACGTTGACTCTCTAACCCTCCTCAAGCCCCCTCCCTCGCTCTCCAGGCATGCGCAACAGACCATATCGCTATGACCACCACCCCCACTAGTCTGGTGAGGATAATCGTCCTTCACTAGCCACTGATAGTGTTTGAAAGCAAAATATTTTCATTCGCAGTGTTGGTAGTTTCGAATTCACAAATTATGCATTACTGCAAATTAGGAAATAAAACAACTAAATAGCGGCGTATGCTACGCCGCGGGTCGGCTCGTATGTATTAAAAGTAGCAGACGTTATATGTATTAAAAGTAGCAGACGTTATATTTATTAAAAGTAGCAGACGTTATATGTATCTAGGGAAGCAGGCGCCATACGTATTAGATGAAGAAGACGTTATAATATGTTTCACATGAAACAAAAGTTTGAATATTTGAGATATGTACCACAGAAAACGAATCACAGAAGACATACGATATATTTCATATAAAACAGACGCAGAATTGTATCGATCAGACGTGATTGATTCTATTTGTAATTAGTGTTTGTAATTAACAGGTGAGGAGACGGAGATGAGAGGCTGACAACTTCCATTTCCCCTTTCCGTCTGCAAGTTTTACCGCGCTGTTAATAAATTACTGTCCTGTGTTTTCATTGGTTAGAAATCACGAGACTCCAAAAGTTCCGGCAAAATAAATTACCCTTCAATGTTTAGCTGACACGGCCAATTTTAGCGATGTTAGCGGCTCAGAGGCGTAGCTATGGGAGGGCGGGTGGGGCGGCAGCCCCAGGCGCCGACCTTAAGGGGGCGCCAAAAGGTGTAGAGAAATTAATTTGAAAGCTCATTTTTAAGCTGAAGTATCGAATTATACACTGTCAAAGCTACGAAAAATAAACGAGTACAAGGCTTCACACACTGATTTAGCAACTTTGTGACTACGAAATAGAAATTGTTTCAGGATTGTAACTGGTAAGAAGCGCCACAAACCTTTTCAACTGGGGGTGGGGGGGGGGCGCTTTTTCACAGACAGGAATAACTATATATAGATATGGGGTGGGGTGCGAAATTGATAGTTTTGTGAAATCACCACACACAAGTCCGATTCAAGATTTAATGTTCTTTATTTTACACAATCAACTTCTTACCTCTATCTAACTAGTACATACTATATACTGTCTAACTGTTCCCTAGCTCTACATATATCCGACCGTCTCTACCGCACGATCACCGTCTGCTCTCTACCCACGCTTCAGTGGTCAGCTGACCGTGCCACGTGACCAGTCAGCTCCCGCTTTTCCATTGGTCTGTTTAACTAACTAAGCTATAGTCTGTTTCTACCATCTACTTGACTTCTAACCTAAACTAGCGTCATCACACATCTATTATTAAAAAACCAAAATGCCTTGATGAATACACCAAATCACCTGGTTATTTTTGGTGTCTTGAAGAACCAGCCACCTCTCGTTTGCAATATTTCTCTACCCAGATTCCCAACACGTAAACACTCGGTTTAACCTCTCCCATGCCAATCTAGTGCGCAAACCGCGCTCAAAACCGGAAGTAACCCAAGCAAGTTCAAGGCAAACGTCCTTCAAAGACGGGCGTAATCTTGGCCAATAAGTTCAAGCCTGCGGTTGATTGGAGGATTTCGGCGATGGAAAAATAAAGAAGATGTGAATTTGTTGAATCTTGATCAATCGGATTTTTTTTTTTCAAATTGGAAGCTATATATGTGTATTGGAGGTTATTAGAGGGTAAAAATGGTTCGGTCAGCTTCGTATATGGTGGTGGGGCTAATTATTTTAGATGTGTGCAGATTGTGACGTGGGAAATATTTGAGATGTGGTCAAACAAAGTGGGAAATATTTCATATGTGGTTAAATAAAGTGGGAAATATTTCATATGTAGTTAAATAAAGTGGGAAATATTTCATATGTAGTTAAATAAAGTGGGAGATACTTGAAACGTTGTCAAAGCAAACAGAAATAAGTGCAAGTAATGATTAAATGTTGTATCACTGGCCAAATATAATTTCCAACACACACAAAAACAAAAAGATCAACAAATTGTTGCAGTAGAAACCCATTACAAAGTTGGTCATGTATAGGCGAGAAATGAGTTACATATAATGTTACATGGAAGGCTCTTAATACGGGCCAGGCATACAAACTTTTGCTACCACTGCTGTCAGTCATAAGTCGGCAGTCACGGCATGTGTCCTATAAAACAAACAATGCAGAAGTGACTCAGGTAACAGCACAACGTGGCAAGGTAGAGCTAGGAGAACAACAGGTAGACTGACCTACATTGAAGAAAAACAGGTGGACTGACCAACATTGTAGGACAACGGGAAACTGGGATCCGATCACAAGACCACAACAGGTAGACTGACCTACATTGAAGGACAACAAGTAGACTGACCTACATTGAAGGACAACAGGTACACTGACCTACATTGGAGGACAACAGGTAGACTGACCTACATTGAAGGACAACAAGTAGACTGACCTACATTGAAGGACAACAGGTACACTGACCTACATTGAAGGACAACAGGTAGACTGACCTACATTGAAGGACAACAAGTAGACTGACCTACATTGAAGAACAACAGGTACACTGACCTACATTGAAGGAAACCAGGTACACTGACCTACATTGGAGGACAACAGGTAGACTGACCTACATTGAAGGACAACAAGTAGACTGACCTACATTGAAGGACAACAGGTAGACTGACCTACATTGAAGGACAACAGGTAGACTGACCTACATTGAAGGACAACAGGTAGACTGACCTACATTGAAGGACAACAGGTGGACTGACCTACATTGAAGGAAACCAGGTAGATTGACCTACATTGAAGGACAACAGGTAGACTGACCTACATTGAAGGACAACAGGTAGACTGACCTACATTGAAGGACAACCAGGATGACCGCCACGTTCCCGATGAGCCCCAACAGGAAGATGACCACGTACAGGATGGTGCAGATGGCCAGCAGGTGGATGGGCGGGTGGGGCATGTAGTCCGACAACTCATCGCCGAAATGGAATCTCGTGATGTTGTAGAACGGGTTGTCCCCCTTTGACATTCTTTATACTAATCCTCACTCGGATTTTCTCCTACTTGTTAAATTCTGTGGAATTATATACTATATATATATATATATATATATATATATATATATACATTCTGATAAGTTATAATTTAGAAGATATTTTACCATAATACCCCATATTTTTTATGACTCCCATGTGCCTGGAGCCGTGACACTCAATGATACACTAACCCCTTGACCCCCATGCCCACAGCGCATGACATCTAAAACAAACAAACAAACAAACAAACAAAACATTTTTATGCCCATCAGCCTGTTATCTGGACAGAAGTTTATTTGAACAACAATTAGGATCTCTCGCGTTGTTCTCGTCTTGTGACGAGAATCTCGCGCTGTTAATGGCAGGTATATGAGAGCTGATCCATGGGGGGGGGGGGGGGGGTTGGGGTGAGTAGAATTGTTCCCTGGGAGGGGGGAGTTAATACTCTACATGGAGGACTTTCATTGGCCGCAGTTTGTCCTACATTAGAGCCTCTCATTTAACAGCTTTTGTTACAAGCTCAATGGGCAAGTTATATTTAGAAACTTTTACATGATTCGCAAAAAAATTGGAATAAACCATCTTTAATTTCTTTTTTTTTTTGTAATACGCGAACAGCAGAAAGTTATATTTGGAAAGAAATAATCAAATATACAAACTATTATAATACGCACAATAAAACTGAGAAATTTTCTTTCGATATTTTCACTCAAGATTTATGTGGTTTTTTAAATATTTTAGTGAATTTTAAAAGCAAGTCTATATATAGTACCCTTCGGTAATTAGGATCGTATGTATCATATGTATTATTTTCATACTGTTACTTGTAAATTAAGTCTGTAAACCACGTGACGAGAATGATCTGCCCCGAGTTGGAAATCGGATCCCAGGTTTTAAAAACAAATGTGCTCAACAAGTGTTTCTTTCAGGTGGTGAGGGAGAGGGCTGGGTGGCTGTTTGTCTGAATGACCGACCGACCGACCGACCGACCGACCGACCGACCGACGGACCGACCGACCGACGGACCGACCGACCGACGGACCGACCGACCGACCGACCGAACGACCGACGGACCGACCGAACGACCGACCGACAAACTGACTGACCGACCGACCGACCCACCCATCGACCGACTGACTGACTGACTGACTGAATGGCTGAAGGGCTGTATGACTTAATGACTTACTTTCGCACACTTTGACCCGAATAAGATCTTGTAAAATCCAACACTGGATACAAAATCTCAAAGTACACGCAATCTTCATCGAGAAATGAAAAACCAGATGGCTTTTTAAAAACTTAATGGCATTTTTCCATCTTTTCACCCATCGATTGTCATACGATCCCTGCGGTTTGTCGTCTGTCACGTAGTCCCCCCCCCCCCACCACCACCACGAGCAGTAAAAGGTCACGTGTCTATTGTTTATGTTTATCGCAGCTAGCAGTCAAAAATATTTTCCTCAATATATTTTTTTAAACAGTGCTGATATCGAACGGTGCCAGAAATAGACTACATTTGCCCGCATGCTGCGCCTGAAGAAAGATCTCCTTACATATTACATGTAATTGTTTACCGGCATTATGGTGTAACAGCAGTCATCAAAGTGCCACAGTGGTCCACTTCCTGATATACACAGCCCTTTCTCACACGACAAGTTTTTGTAATGTAATTATTTTGTCGTTTAATTTAACATAAAGTTAAAAACAAAACCTTTTTATTGATTCCTTTTAACAAAAATGTAGTCAATGAAGTGTATAGCTGAAAATCTGAATGCTATTGAAAGTGAGCATCTATTTCTGTTTGGTAAAGTTCAAATTTTTCACAAATGTTGCATCATCAATATCTAATTATTTAATTATGTTCAAAGATATTTTAATTTTTTTATTGGTTATTTATAATTAAACTCCTGAGTGGTTCTGTATAATTAAGCTTCTGAGTTGTTATGTATAATTAAGCTCATGTGTGATACCGTATAATTAAGCTCCTGATTCGAGAAGTTGTGAGCTTTCCGCATGTTTGTGCCGTGTACATCAAATGCCTTTAAACGATTTAATTAGACTAGGGTCTAATTTAATTATTTCAGTTCAGTTTTTACTTTCTCGTATATACGAAGTATAGAGAAAGTCTTGTAATCGTGCAAAAAATCGAGATTTTTAAAAATCTTGACGTTTAAGGGCTCCCTGAGTCGGAAAAACATAATTTTGCAATCTTGTCCGTATGTCTGTGTGTGTATGTGTGTCTGTGTGTGTGTGTGTGTGTGTGTGTGTGTGTGTGTGTGTGTGTGTAAACATGATAACTTGAGTAGCCGACCGTTACAGCTAGGTTGATGAAATTTCATATATAAGTATTATATCAAAATCGTAGATCCGTATCAACTTTTGAGCGATTTCCGATAACCGGAAGTGGAACTTTTTCTACTTTGAATTTTTCAAAAGCCTATAACTTGAGTACTATTTCAGATAGATAAATTAAATTTCACACGTAAGTAAAAGTATTAATTCACTGCCTTGTTTCAAATTTTGAGTAATTTCCGTCGACCGGAAGTAGTAATTTTCACTATTTCCGATTTCTCAAAAAAAACACATGTGAATTTAAAAAGCACTAATATTATCCAGCACTATTATGCACATTTTATTTGGCGTTCACTTGGTGTGCACTTCTTTTTTTACGAGATTCTATTCATTTATAAAAAGTTTAAGTGATTAAAAAGGATTAAAATATTGTCTATGTCCCGAGTTGCCATCCTCGTAGTGGTATATTAGAATATTCGAGAAAGTTTAGGGGAGATCACTCCTGGTTTATTTATTCCACTTTGTAGGGTTGCTGAAAACGATGACATTTTGAGAACCGCTCAAGTCAACAAGCAGACAGTAATGTTTGGAGTTTTCTGTTAGCGAGAGTTCTTGTGTACGACTTAGTCGATATCACCAATAGCCGATTGATCTCCAGTACAAAATTGTACTTGATAGCTCTACAAAGATACTTAACAGGCTAGAGACAGCTATACTGAGAGATACAGAAAATACTAACATTAACTATATGCAAAACTGGGTTTTCAGAACGCGAAACAACCGGTTATTAAAATAATAACAGTTAATTTGGAGTGATTTTTTTTCCTACTTGCAGTAGTTACATCTACGACGAACGTAGCATCTATACATGGTTTCTTTTTAAATTCGTTTGTTTTATACAGTAACGTAACACATGATATTTCTTTGTATACTGCAGATAGGAAAATCTAGCTAGATTTAGTCATTGAGGTATTCGGCAATTAATTTCGCGAAATGGCCAACGAATTTAGTGTTTTAATTGTTGGTAATATTTGGGTAACTTTGGGAAAAGTCCAGGAGGCTTAAAGCGGGGAGGGGGGATGTCGGTGGTGTTATGACAAGGGGGATTATGTCGGGGCTGGGCAGATTATGTCGTGGGGGTTACGTTTATGAGAGATTAGTCCGGACAATTATAATCTGGACATAATCCCTAAACAATAGTTTTTAAAAACAATTCACATGATGGTATTAACCTTGGCCGAATTAATATCGAAATGCGTCTTTGGCGTGAGGCACATATTCGAAACTCTAATTTGCTTAATTAATTAAAAGTGTTGTCTGGAAGTGAATTAGCCAGATAAAATGAGCGACGGCTCCATATTAGAATTGAAATGAAACATTAAACTGACTTTTGAAATTCAATCCAAATCGATATTTGATGTTTGTGTATTGATGACATCCACGAATGACTTACTTCCTTGACAAACCCCCTAAATATCTTGAATTAAAAACCCAGTAAATCATGAGACCATTACCCTCTCGGCTGCTGGTAAAAACGACCACAGACCACGAGTCCTTGTCTGGACTGTTGAGCTCTTAGCTCAACACAATGTCCTGCTTCAAGGAAATAATGTCCACCTCACCAAACGACGCGGATAAATTAAGACGACCACGGACAAAATGTCCACCTCAGTGGCGTAGCCAGGATCGTCTCAAGGGGGGGTGTCCAATTTTTACCCGGGGACAAACTTACGATTTGCACCCCCCCCCCCCCCTCAAACTTTCGATTTGCACCCCCCCCCTCAAACTTTCGATTTGCACCCCCCCCCCCCTCAAACTTTCGATTTGCACCCCCCCTCCCTCAAACTTTCGATTTGCACACCCCCCTCATACTTTTTCTATATACCGAGGGGTCTATGGGGGGGGGGGTTATACCCCCCCTGCCTACGCCACTGGTCCACCTCACAAAACGACGCGGATAAATTAAGACGACCACGGACAAAATGTCCACCTCACCAAACGACGCGGATAAATTAAGACGACCACGGACAAAATGTCCACCTCACCAAACGACGCGGATAAATTAAGACGACCACGGACAAAATGTCCACCTCACCAAATGACGCGGATAAATCAGGATGACTATGTCCAAAGTTAATTTGTTTTGTATTTTTCGAATTGCCATCTCTCCGTAAGGAGATAAAATAAAAAATGTACCCTTTAGCTAGCAATGTTGATATGCCAAATGCATCCTTTATTGACCAATTACTACAGTAAATGTCAATGAATTCAGGTAAAGCTACTAAGTCCCATTTCATTAAAATTTACAAAGAGTCTTTTGAAGTTTTGAAATTTAAAATAACTTTTATTTTTTTTAAATGCAAAAGTGTGACGTCACAGATTATTAAGCCGCTTCCTCTCACATGCGTCCCCGCCCTCCCTAATATATTTCTCATCGTTTAAAGAAATCCCTAAGGCAGGTTATGAAGGATAGCCGGACATCGTTTATCTCTAGAGTCTGACCACACAGTTAGGATACCAGGCCATTTCTCTAGAAATATTTTTCCTTGAGAAATCTATGTTGCAACCACGTGATGCATTATTTTTTTTTATAATTACACGGTGTGTATTGACTAAGTAATTAAAACAATAACCGCAAACACGAATTTTTCAGTCTCTATGTTTACGTCTATCTGTGCTCAGCCTATCATTACCTGAAGTG